GAGGGTAAGGGAAGCAGAGAGAGAGAGAAATATCAATGCATGGTTGCCTCTCATGTGTCCTCTGCTGGGAACTGGCCTGCAACCCAGGCATGTGCCCTGACTGGGAATCGAACCGTGATCCTTTGTTTCACAGGCCCGCGCTCAATCCACTGAGCTACACCAGCCAGGGCGGAATACTTTTTATATTTAACCTACAATCCAGCTGCTATAACAGATACTTATGTTCTTTGTTATTGAGGAGCACTTAAGTAGCATCTATTTGTGTGTACAGGGTACACTAGAGTACCAAATGTTATTGTTTAGAACGTGGCCTAACATGTTAAGGGGCTGGAGTACTCAGGAGAAAAATGTTGAGGAAATCTAAATATATGAATAAGTGAATTTCAGAGATGTGAAGGTTGTTGAGTAGCTGTGAGTTAGTTACGTGCCTAGACACTGGGGCCTGGGAACATCATCACCTTTTTCCTCATCATTTCTGCTTTTGAAATCATTTCAGCCTGTCTTCTGATTGAGAACAGCTGGCTGCCATCTTCTCTGTGAGGTCATTTATTGTCACATCTTTTCCACTTTTGAAGGCTGTGATAGTTCCAGTTCTTTTCATCTTTCTTCAGGGGTTTTGTTTTCATCCTCTAATCATCTTTGAGTCTTTTCTGAATCCCTTCCAAGTTTTTTTTTTCTCAACCCTTCATTTTAGTTTAGAAATGTGAAACTGGACACAGTGCCCTGAGAATTTTTGAGCACTTTTGAGTATCGTGAGAGGAGACTTCACACTTGAACATGTGCCCGAATCCATTTCACATAACCTTAGACTATGTTTGCTTTCCGAAAGTATAGTCTTACAGTACTGACTGTCAGGTTATTGAAAAATATTTTTTCAAAGAGAGAGGAAGGAGGAAGAATGAGAGAAAGAAACATTGATGTGAGAGGGAAACATTGATTGGTTGCCTCTTATATGCTCCCCAACGAGGGACTGAACCCACAACCTAGGCATGTGCCCTGACCAGGAATTGACCTCGTGACCTTTTCTTTGTTGGACAACACCCAACCTAGCCATGCTGGCCAGGGCTGGCTGTCAACTTTTTATCCCCTATGACCTTGATCTTTTCCTCTTATGTTTATTTATAGCTTGTGTATTCATCATGGACTTTATTTTTCTTGGCTGAAGAGATTGTTTTGCACTGTCCTTATTGAAATTTATTGCCTTTTTTCTGATTACTTCACAACTTAATGTCATTTCAATTCTTACTTCCAGTGTGACCAACCAGTAGGCTTCACATTGTCTGTACTGTTCAAGTCAGTGATGCAGGTGTTAAAAAAAAAAAGACAGAGGTAGAAACAATGCCCTAGAAACAGTGGCAGAACAAGATTTGTTGGTGTTTCTTTTTTTTTTTTTTTTTTTAAATTAAATTTATTTATTTTTTGAATTGATTATGCTGTTACAGTTGTTCTATTCCCCCCTCCATTCCCCTCCACCCTGCCCCCCCAACCCCACCATTACCCCCCTTTAGTTTATGTCCATGTGTCTCAAGTCCTTTAGGTTCTAAATTTCCCAAACTATTCTCGCCCCCCATCTATTTTCTATCTACTGTCTATGCTACCTGTTTTCTGTACCTTCTCCCCCCATCTCCTCCTCCCATTCCCCTGTTGCTAACCCTCCTTGAGATCTTCATTTCTATGTTTCCACTCCTGCTCTAGCTGTCCTTTGGTTTGCTTTCGTTTTAGGTGTGGTTGTTAATAACTGTGGATTTGTTGTCCTTTCACTGTTCATGTTTCTTTATCTTCTTTTTCTTAGATAAGTCCCTTTAACATTTCATATAATAAGGGCTTGGTGATGATGAACTCCTTGAGTTTGGTCTTATCTGAGAAGCACCTTATCTGTCCTTCCATTCTAAATGAAAGTTTTGCTGGGTAGAGCAATCTTGGTTGTAGGTCCTTAGAATTCATGACTTGGAATATTTCTTTCCAGCCCCTTCTTGCCTGTAAGGTCTCTTTTGAGAAATCTGCTGACAGCCTGATGGGGACTCCTTTGTAGGTGATTGTCCCCTTAGCTCTTGCTGCTTCCAGGATTCTCTCCTTCGTTTTAATTTTGGCTAATGTAATTATGATATGCCTTGGTGTGTTCCTTCTTGAGTCCAACTTTTTTGGTACTCTCTGGGCTTCTTGGATTTCTTGGAAGTCTGTTTCCTTTGCCAGATTGGGGAAATTTTCTTTTATTATTTGTTCAAATAGTTTTTCCACTGGTGGTTGTGTCTTTCCCCCCTCTGGTACCCCTATAATTCGGATATTGGAGCGTTTATAGATGTCCTGGAAGTTCCTAAGCTTCTCCTCATTTTTCTGAATTCTTATTTCTTCATTCCTTTCTGATTGATCATTTTTTTCTTCCTTCTGGTTTACTCCATTGAGTTGAGTCCCAGTTTTTTTTTCATCTCTATGGGTTTCCTGTGGAATTCCATTCATTTCCCTTAATTTAGCCTTCATATGTTTCTCTAATTTATGGCTATAGTCCACCAGATCTGTGAGGAAGCTGACGACAAGTGTCTTAAACTGTGCGTCTGAGAGATTTGCTATTTCTTCGTCACTTAGATTTATCTCCGGGACTTTGAGGTCCCCCTGCGACATTTTTGGTCTGTTCTGGCCCTTTAAGTGAGAGAAGCGGCGCCTTGGAGTCCCAGGTCGCTGGGTTGTGACGCTGTATGTGGGGGCGTGGTCAGAGCGGGGAAAATGGCGCCGCCGCCGGTCCCCGCTCACTCCCTCACCCGCGCGTAACCGGGCACCCACAGTCAACTCGCTGCCACCGCCTCCCCACTGACTCCTCCGTAGTCACTCACCCGGTGGGCTGCTCACTAGGTCCAATCCTGGGTTTGGAACCCGTGCGACTGGATTCCGCGCCCGCGCCCGGGTCGTTCAAGTTCTCCTTTGTAACTCCTCAACCCGCCGCCGCCGGTTTTGCCTCTTACCGGCCGGGCCGGAGAATTCGCTGTTTGCGGACTTCCGAAAAGTCGCGCGTCTGGGTTCCGCGCCCGCGCCCGGGTCGAACGAGTTCTCCTTTGTAACTCCTCAACCCGCCGCCGCCGGTTTTGCCTCTTACCGGCCGGGCCGGAGAATTTGTTGTTAGCGGACTTCCGAAAAGTTCAGTTTTCCGTGTTCTGGTTGTGTTTTCTGATGCTAATATTTAGTTGTCCTTAAACTTGGTTGTGAGAGGAGGCAGGCACATCCACCTTAATCCTCCATCTTGGCGGAAGTCCCTGTTGGTGTTTCTTAAAATTTACTCTGATGAGCATCCCAGCTGATTGGTACATATCTGTCTGTGTTGCCCTCCTTCTGTGCTGTTCATACTTCTCAGATCTCTTCTCTTCACCACCAGAGTTTGGTTTCTGCATCTCTACCCAACTCCAAAGAAAGCTCTATCAGAGCATTTTATCTTGCATACTGCTATTGGATTTAATCTTAATCACTGCCTTGTATTATGTCTCCTTGTTCATAACTTGTAGTGGCTTCCCATTTCCATTGAATTAGATGTAAACTTTCTAGCCTTCCGCCCAAGGCACATTTTGGTTTTAGCCTACCTTTGTAGTCTGATTGCCTGTAACTATGTGTCATACAAAATGAACTACTTGTCTGTTCCTTGGATCTGTCGCACTTTCTGAGGCCTTGGTTTATCTGCACTGTTTGTGCTACTTAGAACACTCGAAAGCTTTTGTTTCTGATTTATGTCTATTAACACCAAGTAAGACCAATTTTTTACATGTTCCTTTTTTTCTGTATTTCTCCAGCTTGATAGGATCTTTTCTCCCACCCTCCAGTCTTAATATTCTTTGGGGTAATTGACTATATTTTCCCCTTCATTCCAGCTGTTTGTGTACTTTTCTTATCCTTTCTGGTAGACTATCTTTTGAAAACAGTCTGTTCCTCATCTTGATAACTTTGGATGTACCACTATGTATTTGCATAACTAATTGCATAGATTTACATTTTTCTTACAGTATTTATGGGTATGTACACACCAAATAGATGAATTAGATCAGTTTAAGCACATCGTATGATATATTCTATTAAATTCTACTGTACAACCATTATGGAAAACAGTATGGAATTTTCTCAGAAAAATAAAAATTGACCTGCCTTTTGACCCAGCAATTCCACTGCTGGGATTATACCCCAAGAATCCTAAAACATCAATTTCAAAGAACCTATGCACCACAATGTTCATAGCAGCACAATTTACAATAGCCAAGAGTTGGAAGCAACCTAGGTGCCCATCAGTAAATGAATGGATACAAAAATTGTGGTACATATACACCATGGAATTTTATGCAGCAGAGAGAAAGAAGGAGCTACTACCTTTTGCAACAACATGGATGGAACTGGAAAGCATTATGCTGAGTGAAATAGGCCAGGCATTGAAGGACAAATACCATATGATCTCACCTTTGACAGGAAGCTAAAGAATAAAACAAACAAGCAAACAGAATAAAAACAAAGACGCTGAAATAGAGAACAAGTGGGCAGCGACCAGAGGGGAGAGGGAAGGGAACTTAAGGGGGAAAAAGGGGGGAGGGATTTTGAGGAACAAGTATGAATGACACAGTGATGAGGACTGGGGGGGGGGAACGGGAGGGAGGGGGGAGACCGGGCGGGGGGGGGGGAAGAGGGAAAAAAAAAAATGTACTTGAAAAGTAACTAAATAAAAAAATAAAATAAAATAAAAAAAAATAAATTCTACTGTAAAGCTCCTTACCTACTCACATGTTCATAGCAAAGTTTGTGGACTAGCAGCTGGTCTATACTTTGAGTAGCATTGTTCTGGTTTACTTTTTTCCCCTTAAAAAGATTCTAGAGGCGATTTAAGATTCATATAAATTTTATATGAAGGTTTATGTAAATTATGATTTATAGTATTAGTCATTAAACAGAAGCTGCTAAATGCAGCAGTTTCTTGATTGTGTAATTAAAGTTGTATTCTAAAGCCCTTTTATAATTTTTTTGACTTTGTTTTGTAGAAACTACCCAACGCTGGCCAATATTGAAAGGAAGAAAAAGTTAAAACTTGAAAAGGAACAGAGAGGTGCAGTATTAACAACAACACAGTATGGGTAAGTTCTTTAAAATTCTTACATTCTCAATACATATTTTAAACAACTATACTTACAAATAATAGAGCATACATCAAAATTCTAAAGTCTGTGTACTTCCAATCCTAAAATCTTTGCTTTTGTAACTCTTTTACTTAAATGTTTTAAAATAATTAATGACCTGTATTTGTATTGTTTTCAAAAAGATTTATAGTTAGTCTTTTCTGTCTTTGTTTCCCAGCTGAACTGTTCTTCTTCCCAAAGACAACCATTTTCATCCTTCCAGAGAGATTCTACATGTATGCAGCATGTAGATAGTAATCTTTTTTTTCTATCTTTTTGATACTATTCTACACCTTGCTTTTTAGGCACATAACATACTTGGATATTGTTTTTTATTAATACATAACAGGTCTCCTCATTCTCTGAGGGTGTGTTGGAAGTTTAAAGATATCCCATGGGGTCCTTTTTTTTTTTTTTGGTAACTTTTGACAGACATTTAAATTCTTACCAAACTTTTACTAATAAAAAGTTGCCAGTATTGCCCTAAACATACATTTTACACATGTGCAGGTATTTCTGAGGATGGATTCCTAAAAGTAGATTTGCCGAGTCAAAAGATAATACGCATGTGTATTTGTCATACTAGCTGCCAAATATCTATCATAGAAGCAATTCTAGTTTACTCTTCCAGTAGCAATATATGAGATACCATGTTTTCACTGTCACTCAGCTCCATAGAGTTTTTTTTAGTTTATATTTTTCTTGAAATACATTTTTAATCTAAGTAAAATATACAAAGCTTAAATGTACTTGATGCATTTGTGCACATACATACACCTACACACCCATGCAAACTCCACACAGATTATTTATATAGTCATGTACTATCTAACTTTGAGTTATGCTCTGAGAAATGTTGTAGGCAATTTTATCATCGTGCAAACATTATAGAGTATACTTTTGCGAAGTAGGATGATACAGCCTGCTACACACCTAAACTGTATGGTACAGCTTATTGCTCCTAGGCTACAAACCTGTACAGCATGACACTGTACTGAAAACTGTACGCAGGTGTTAACACAATGATAAGTATTTTACCTGTAAACATAAGAAAGGTACAGTAACAAAGATTTAAAAAACACCCCTATATAGGGTACTTACTGTGAATGGACCTTGCTAGACTGGAAGTTGCTCAGTGAAAGTCCATGAGTGAGTGATGAGGGACTGAGAGCCTAGGACATTACTGTATACCACTGTATACTTTATAAATTTATAAAACAACATGAGATTAAATCAAGCACATGAGAAAATGGTACCATTGAGATGCAGTAAACATGATGTATGAGATTGACTACTAGTGTAACACAGCATACTGTTTTACAGCAAACTTTTTTTTGTAAGTAGAATGTTCTAAAAATAATAAGTATAGTATAGTGAATACATAAACCAGTATCATTGTTTTTTACCATTATCAAGAATTATGTACTATATATAACTAAATGTGTATATAATTTCATGTGATTGGCAGCATAGTAGGTTTGTTTACACCAACATCACCACAAACATGTGAGTAATGAATTGTGCTATGATATTAGACAGCTCCGATGATCCATTATAATCTCATGGGACTCTTGTCATAGATGCAGTCCATCATCAACTAAAATAGCATTATGCAGTGCATGACTGTACAGAAAGTCTTCACCTCACAAAGTTCTCTTATACCATCCCTAGTTCAGTGCCTTCCCACAAAGGTAATCTCACATCTGATTTCTGTCATCATAGCTTTGTTTTACCTGTTCTTGGAATGTTATCTAAGTGGAATCATACATTATGTATTCTTTGGTTTGTGATTTCAGTAGTGCAAAACTATTTTGTGAGATTCATTTATATTGCATGTAGCTATAAGTTCATTCTTATAGTTGTATAAAACTCAATTGTGAGAATATATGTCTTCCTACTGTTGGACATTTGGGCTGTTTCCAGTTTGGGCTGTTATGAATAAAGCTGTCATGAAATTCTAGTACATGTTTTTTTATAGACATAAGTACTCATTTTCATTACATACACATGCATATACATATATAGGATATCCATGTGTTTAGCTTTAATAATTAAGGCAGAATAATTTTCCAAAGTGGTTGTATCCATTTATTTACTTTTTGAATTATTATTGTTCAGTGGTTGTATCAATTTATGCATCTCCTGACTCTGTATCTAATTGTTTTATGTCCAGGTCAGTGCTTGGTATTATTATACCTTTTCCTTCTGTATTACCATTTCCTCATAACTGATGATGTCAGACACCTTCTTATATGCTTGCTTATTGGCCATTTTGATATTCTTTTATGATACACTAGTTAAAGTCTTTGGCCAGTTTTTTAAAACTATATTTTATCAATTATGCTATTACAGTTGCCCCAATTGTTACCCTTTGTACTGCTCCACCCTGCATCCTCCATTCCCTGAGTAATTCCTACTCCATTGTTTAGGTCCATGAGTCACGTGTGTAAGTTCTTTGGCTACTCCATTTCCCTTGTACTTTACTCATGTGTTGTACTTTACTAGGGATGGTGTAAGAGAACTTTGACTGTTCTGTAAGTAACTATTTGTACTTTTTTTAATAAAGATTTTATTTCTTTATCTTTAGAGGGGAAGGGAAGGAGAGAGAGAGAGAGAGAGAAATACCAATATCAGTGTATGGTTGCCTTTCGTGCATCCCCTGCTGGGAACTGCCCTGTAACTCAGGCATGTGCCCTGACTGGGAATCAAACCATGGTTCTTTGGTTCCCAGGCCCTTGCTCAGTCCACTGAGCTACACCAGCCAGGACTATTTGTACTTCTTAATGCCCTCACCTCTTTACCCATTTTCCCACAACCACCTCACATCTGGCAACCATCAACACCCTTTCTGTATCCATGATTCTGTCTCTGTTCTCATTTGCTTAGTTTTTTTTTATTCGATTATTGATAGATACGTATTTATTCCCATTTTATTATTTATAGTTTTTATCTTTTTCTTTTTCTTTTTTTTCATCTTTTTCTTAAATAAGTCCCATTAACATTTCATATAATAATGGTTTGGTGATGGTGAACTCCTTTAGTTTTTTTCTTATCTGGGAAGCCCTTTATCTGCCTTTTGATTCTAAATTACAGTTTTGCTGGGTAGAGCAATCTTGGCTGCAGGTCCCTACTTTCCATGACTTTGAGTATTTCTTGCTAATCTCTTCTAGACTACAAAGTTTCTTTTGAGAAATCAGCTGACAGTCTTATTGGAACTCCCCTGTAGATAACAAACTACTATACTCTTGCTGCGCTCTTTATATTTAATCTTTGGCATTTTAATTGTGATATGCCTTGGTGTGGGCTTCTTTGCACCTATTTTGTTTGGGATTCCCTGTGCTTCCTGGACTTGAATATCTACTTCCTTCACTAAATTAGGGAAGTTTTGTCTTATTACTTTTTCAAATAGATTTCCAATTTCTTGCTCTCTTTTCCTCTGGCGCCCCTATGAGATGAATGTTGAAATGCTTGAAGTTATTTCAGAGGCTGCTTACCCTATCCTTGTTTTTTTGTATTCTTTTTTGTTGTTGTTCTGATTGGGTGTTTTTTTCTTTCTTATGTTCCAAATCATTGATTTGATTCTTGGCTTCATCCACTCTACTGTTGATTCCCTGTAAATTGTTCGCTCTTTCCATTAGTGTATCCTTCTTTTCTGACTGGATCTTTTTATACTCTTGAGGTCCTCACTAAGTTCCTTGAGCATTCTTATAGTTTTGAACTCTGCATCTGATAGATTGTGTATCTCTATTTTGTTTAGTTTTTTCCTGGAGTTTTGATGTGTTCTGTTATTTGGGCCATGTTTCCTTGTTGCCTCATTTTGACAGTTTCTATGTATTGGGTAGAAGTGCTTTGACTCTGTGTCTTGGTAGTGTGGCCTAATGTAGTAGGTGTCCTGTAGGTTCCAGTGGCGTAGCCTCCTCTATCACCCAAGCTGAGTTCTTGAGGTGTGTCCTTCATGTGTGCTGAGTACACTCTCCTCTTATAGTTGAGCCTTGATTGCTGTTGGCAGGTCTTTGGGGTGGATTTACCCAGGCCAGTCATCTGCAAGGACTGTTTGTGGCCACTGACCACATACCTCAGCCCTCTGTGGATGATCAGCTGTGCAGGGCCAGGGTGGCTGTGCTCTGATGTGGTCTATAGCTGTCCACTGAGTGCACAGGCTCTGCAGTTTCCTGGGTGGTGCAGGCCAAGGTCAGCCCCCACCAGTGTGTTTCCCAGGGCCACCCTGCCTGGGCTATAAAGCAATCTGAGACGGCCGCTGCCGCTCATGCTGGGCTTAGAGGTTCCCACATGAAGCCAAGGTGTGAATCTATGCTGGCTGCTATTAGTGCTAGACTGGGACCACTTAGCAAGAGGTGCAGGGGCTGGGGGCTCACTGAGCCTGGCTGTTGCTTGTTTGAGAGGATTTAGGGAATTGTGAAGCATGAGCCAAGATCAGCCATTCACATGGGAAAGTTTCTGTTAACAGCTTGGGTGGACCTATAAGTTGGGTGGGATTGAGTCTCAGGGAAGCTCCAGGGTGCAATGAATAGTGTTAGGTTGATGGAGTCTCAGATGTGGCACTCACCTGCTGGCTCTGTGAGGGGAGGGTTCAGAAAAAGGACAGTGGTCGCTGTCCACCTTTCTGTGTGGGAGAAAGTTGCCCCCAGCTTTTGCCTTGATGCCAGACACTTCAGTTCTTCCCTGTGTGCCACCAGTGCTGGAGCTCAGAGGGAGTGAGTCTGAATAAGTTCTTGTGTGGGTTCTTAAAGAGGAACTGCTTGGGACTCCCAGTAGTTTTCTTCCACTGACTCAGTCCTCACTGGATTTTGCAGGCAGAAGTTATGGGGACTTACCTTCCTGGCACTGAATCCCATACTGGTGGGTCTGGTGTGCGGTTGGGACTCCTCACTCCTGAGATATCCCTTCTGAATTTTTATCTACCACGTGTGGAAATGGTACCAGCCTGATCCATGTCT